GTGGTTAAGAGCGTTGTGCCAGTAACCGAAAGGTCGCTGGTTCTAATCCCCGAGCCAACTAGGTGAAAAATCTGTCAATGTGCCCTTAAGCAAGGCACTTAACCCTAATTGCTCATGTAAGTCGCTCTGGATAAGAGCGTCTGCTAAATTACTAAAATGTAAATGTAATGATCCATTTTGCATCTTGTAATTCTGCATCATGACTATCAACAATGGACTAAAGAAACAAATATCAAAAAATAGTTTAGAGGTGGAATCTTCCTTTTAATAGGTACTCTTACCGCACCTCTTCCTGCTCCACATGCAGTTGGAGTCAAAACATTATGACATTTTTACCACAAATGTATTGAGCATTGACAATGCAGCTGCTCTGTGGGGCTGGACTTAAACAAACAGCTGTGTGTCGTGTCTGTGTGTTTCACATAAGGCAGCTCTGTCCACTGATCATCTAAAACCTGTTTCACGTAAGGCAGCTCTGTCCACCGATCATCTAAAACCTGTTTCACGTAAGGCAGCTCTGTCCACCGATCATCTAAAACCTGTTTCACGTAAGGCAGCTCTGTCCACCGGTCATCTAAAACCTGTTTCACGTAAGGCAGCTCTGTCCACTGATCATCTAAAACCTGTTTCACATAAGGCAGCTCTGTCCACCGATCATCTAAAACCTGTTTCACGTAAGGCAGCTCTGTCCACCGGTCATCTAAAACCTGTTTCACGTAAGGCAGCTCTGTCCACCGATCATCTAAAACCTGTTTCACGTAAGGCAGCTCTGTCCACCGATCATCTAAAACCTGTTTCACGTAAGGCAGCTCTGTCCACCGATCATCTAAAACCTGTTTCACGTAAGGCAGCTCTGTCCACCGGTCATCTAAACCTGTTTCACGTAAGGCAGCTCTGTCCACCGATCATCTAAAACCTGTTTCACGTAAGGCAGCTCTGTCCACCGATCATCTAAAACCTGTTTCACGTAAGGCAGCTCTGTCCACCGATCATCTAAAACCTGTTTCACGTAAGGCAGCTCTGTCCACTGATCATCTAAAACCTGTTTCACGTAAGGCAGCTCTGTCCACTGATCATCTAAAACCTGTTTCACATAAGGCAGCTCTGTCCACTGATCATCTAAAACCTGTTTCACATAAGGCAGCTCTGTCCACTGATCATCTAAAACCCGTTTCACATAAGGCAGCTCTGTCCACTGATCATCTAAAACCCATTTCACATAAGGCAGCTCTGTCCACTGATCATCTAAAACCCGTTTCACATAAGGCAGCTGTGTCCACCGGTCATCTAAAACCTGTTTCACGTAAGGCAGCTCTGTCCACTGATCATCTAAAACCTGTTTCACATAAGGCAGCTCTGTCCACTGATCATCTAAAACCCGTTTCACATAAGGCAGCTCTGTCCACTGATCATCTAAAACCCGTTTCACATAAGGCAGCTCTGTCCACTGATCATCTAAAACCCGTTTCACATAAGGCAGCTCTGTCCACTGATCATCTAAAACCCATTTCACATAAGGCAGCTCTGTCCACTGATCATCTAAAACCTGTTTCACATAAGGCAGCTCTGTCCACTGATCATCTAAAACCCGTTTCACATAAGGCAGCTCTGTCCACTGATCATCTAAAACCCGTTTCACATAAGGCAGCTCTGTCCATTGATCATCTAAACCTGTTTCACATAAGGCAGCTCTGTCCACTGATCATCTAAAACCCGTTTCACATAAGGCAGCTCTGTCCACTGATCATCTAAAACCCGTTTCACATAAGGCAGCTCTGTCCACTGATCATCTAAAACCCGTTTCACATAAGGCAGCTCTGTCCACTGATCATCTAAAACCCGTTTCACATAAGGCAGCTCTGTCCACTGATCATCTTAAACCTGTTTCACATAAGGCAGCTCTGTCCACTGATCATCTAAAACCCGTTTCACATAAGGCAGCTCTGTCCACTGATCATCTAAAACCCGTTTCACATAAGGCAGCTCTGTCCACTGATCATCTAAAACCCGTTTCACATAAGGCAGCTCTGTCCACTGATCATCTAAAACCCATTTCACATAAGGCAGCTCTGTCCACTGATCATCTAAAACCCGTTTCACATAAGGCAGCTCTGTCCACTGATCATCTAAAACCCGTTTCACATAAGGCAGCTCTGTCCATTGATCATCTAAACCTGTTTCACATAAGGCAGCTCTGTCCACTGATCATCTTAAACCTGTTTCACATAAGGCAGCTCTGTCCACTGATCATCTAAAACCTGTTTCACATAAGGCAGCTCTGTCCACTGATCATCTAAAACCCGTTTCACATAAGGCAGCTCTGTCCACTGATCATCTAAAACCCGTTTCACATAAGGCAGTTTGAAGTGACTCAAATCATTTATATCTGCTGTATTTGTATCATCATCTGCTGGCCTGTCTGATGACTGTCTGGCCTGTCTGATGACTGTCTGGCCTGTGCTGTCTGTCTGGCCTGTCTGCTATCTGTATTGGTTTGGCTGAGGCTTCGTCCCTCTCTGACCCTGCCAATGGGTGTGTGTGTGTGTGTGTGTCCCCACAGTCCTTTGTATTACCGATCTGACGGTCTGTTTTGATTGCAGTGAGTTTTTGTAATTGTTCCATGGCAATGAAGCTCCATCAGCAGTTGAGAGAAAGAGAAGAGAAGCATGTGACTGTATTGTCAGGACTGCAACGAAGCTAATTAGAATGTATTTAACCTGCAGCAGGAGGTGTTTAATCATTATTTAACCTACAGCAGGAGGTGTTTAATCATTATTTAACCTACAGCACGAGGTGTTTAATCATTATTTAACCTACAGCACGAGGTGATTAATCATTATTTAACCTACAGCACGAGGTGTTTAATCATTATTTAACCTACAGCACGAGGTGATTAATCATTATTTAACCTACAGCACGAGGTGTTTAATCATTATTTAACCTACAGCACGAGGTGTTTAATCATTATTTAACCTACAGCAGGAGGTGTTTAATCATTATTTAACCTACAGCACGAGGTGTTTAATCATTATTTAACCTACAGCACGAGGTGATTAATCATTATTTAACCTACAGCACGAGGTGTTTAATCATTATTTAACCTACAGCACGAGGTGATTAATCATTATTTAACCTACAGCACGAGGTGTTTAATCATTATTTAACCTACAGCACGAGGTGTTTAATCATTATTTAACCTACAGCACGAGGTGATTAATCATTATTTAACCTACAGCACGAGGTGTTTAATCATTATTTAACCTACAGCACGAGGTGTTTAATCATTATTTAACCTACAGCAGGAGGTGTTTAATCATTATTTAACCTACAGCACGAGGTGTTTAATCATTATTTAACCTACAGCACGAGGTGATTAATCATTATTTAACCTACAGCACGAGGTGTTTAATCATTATTTAACCTACAGCACGAGGTGATTAATCATTATTTTAACCTACAGCACGAGGTGTTTAATCATTATTTAACCTACAGCACGAGGTGTTTAATCATTATTTAACCTACAGCAGGAGGTGTTTAATCATTATTTAACCTACAGCACGAGGTGTTTAATCATTATTTAACCTACAGCAGGAGGTGTTTAATCATTATTTAACCTACAGCACGAGGTGTTTAATCATTATTTAACCTACAGCAGGAGGTGTTTAATCATTATTTAACCTGCAGCACGAGGTGTTTAATCATTATTTAACCTGCAGCAGGAGGTGTTTAATCATTATTTAACCTACAGCACGAGGTATTTATTACCTGGGTTTGGCGGATGCCAGGAGAACGCTACCTGCCCCAATGCATAGTGCCAACTGTAAAGTTTGGTGGTGGAGGAGGAATAATGGTCTGGGGCTGTTTTTCATGGTTCGGGCTAGGCCCCTTAGTTCCAATGAAGGGAAATCTTAACGCTACATCATACAATTGCATTCTAGACAATTCTGTGCTTCCAACTTTGTGGCAACAGTTTGGGGAAGGCCCTTTCCTGTTTCAGCATTACAATGCCCTCATGCACAAAGCGAGGTTTATACAGAAATGGGTTGTCTAGATCAGTGTGGAAGAACTTGACTGGTCTTCACAGAGTCCTGACCTCAACCCCATCGAATACCTTTGGGATGAATTGGAACGCCGACTGCGAGCCAGTCCTAATCGCCCAACATCAGTGGCCAACCTCACTAATGCTCTTGTGGCTGAATGGAAGCAAGTCCCCTCAGCAATGTTCCAACATCTAGTGGAAAGCCTTCCCAGAAGAGTGGAGGCTGTTATAGCAGCAAAGGGGGGACCAACTCCATATTAATGCCCATGATGTTGGAATGAGATGTTTGACGAGCATAATTTTGGCCGTGTTGTTCCAGCAGCATCTTGTCTCTAACTCCTATATCCGTGTGTTGTTCCAGCAGCATCTTGTCTCTACCTCCTATATCCGTGTTGTTCCAGCAGCATCATATCTCTACCTCCTATATCTGTGTTGTTCCAGCAGCATCTTGTCTCTAACTCCTATATCTGTGTTGTTCCAGCAGCATCTTGTCTCTACCTCCTATATCCGTGTTGTTCCAGCAGCATCTTGTCTCTAACTCCTATATCCGTGTTGTTCCAGCAGCATCTTGTCTCTAACTCCTATATCCGTGTTGTTCCAGCAGCATCTTGTCTCTAACTCCTATATCCGTGTTGTTCCAGCAGCATCTTGTCTCTAACTCCTATATCCGTGTTGTTCCAGCAGCATCTTGTCTCTAACTCCTATATCTGTGTTGTTCCAGCAGCATCTTGTCTCTACCTCCTATATCCGTGTTGTTCCAGCAGCATCTTGTCTCTAACTCCTATATCTGTGTTGTTCCAGCAGCATCTTGTCTCTACCTCCTATATCCGTGTTGTTCCAGCAGCATCTTGTCTCTAACTCCTATATCCGTGTTGTTCCAGCAGCATCTTGTCTCTACCTCCTATATCCGTGTTGTTCCAGCAGCATCTTGTCTCTAACTCCTATATCCGTGTTGTTCCAGCAGCAGCATCATGGCGTCCACGGTGACCCTGGAGGATGCTCTGTCCAATGTTGACCTTCTGGAGGAGCTGCCTCTCCCAGACCAGCAGCCCTGCATCGAGCCCCTACCCTCCTCCCTGATGTACCAGGTAAGAACTGTTCTCAGACCAGCAGCCCTGCATCGAGCCCCTACCCTCCTCCCTGATGTACCAGGTAAGAACTGTTCCCAGACCAGCTAGAGCCCCTACCTTCCTCCCTGATGTACCAGGTAAGAACTGTTCTCAGACCAGCAGCCCTGCATCGAGCCCCTACCTTCCTCCCTGATGTACCAGGTAAGAACTGTTCCCAGACCAGCTAGAGCCCCTACCTTCCTCCCTGATGTACCAGGTAAGAACTGTTCTCAGACCAGCAGCCCTGCATCGAGCCCCTGCCCTCCTCCCTCATGTACCAGGTAAGAACTGTTCCCAGACCAGCTAGAGCCCCTACCTTCCTCCCTGATGTACCAGGTAAGAACTGTTCTCAGACCAGCAGCCCTGCATCGAGCCCCTACCTTCCTCCCTGATGTACAAGGTAAGTTCTGTTCTCAGACCAGCTAGAGCCCCTACCTTCCTCCCTGATGTACCAGGTAAGAACTGTTCTCAGACCAGCAGCCCTGCATCGAAGCCCCTGCCCTCCTCCCTCATGTACCAGGTAAGAACTGTTCTCAGATCTGCTGTCAAGTTAAGCAGGAAACACCTGAATGTAGATTTCATTTGATTATAACATCCTATCTCTCTCCAAAGCCCAACTTCAACACCAACTTTGAGGACCGTAATGCCTTTGTGACGGGGATCGCCAGATACATCGAGCAGGCCACCGTCCACTCTAGCATGGTAATTACCAGTTTCCAGTTGCAATGTGTAGCCTAATGAACACATAGAAAATGGTGGTCATCAGAGCTCTAGCAATAAAACACCATAGCGTACATCAGCCTTTGGAAATAATGAAATCATTAACTTCCTATAGATTCTCCAGTCTGATATTTAATGTTCGATGTGGGAACCTTAGTCCCCAGAACCGGGACAGAGGGGTTAGGGTTAGAGAGAGGGCTGGTGGGAGGGTTTATATGGGTGAATAGGGGTTTATATGGGTGAATAGTGGTTTAATATGGGTGAATAGTGGTTTAATATGGGTGAATAGTGGTTTAATATGGGTGAATAGGGGTTTATATGGGTGAATAGGGGTTTATATGGGTGAATAGGGGTTTATATGGGTGAATAGGGGTTTAATATGGGTGAATAGGGGTTTATATGGATGAATAGGGGTTTAATATGGGTGAATAGGGGTTTATATGGGTGAATAGGGGTTTATATGGGTGAATGTGGTGGCTTCCTTACTATTTGAACATAGCCACTAAATGCATGCTTTTCAATCGAACGCTGCTGGCACCCGCCCACCCGACTAGAATCACCACTCTCGACGGGTCTGACCTAGAGTTTGTGGACAACTACAAATACCTAGGTGTCTGGTTAGACTGTAAACTCTCCTTCCAGACTCACATTAAGAATCTCCAATCCAAAGTTAAATCTAGAATCGGCTTCCTATTTCGCAACAAAGCCTCCTTCACTCATGCTGCCAAACATGCCTTCGTAAAACTGACTATCCTACCGATCCTTGACTTCGGCGATGTCATTTACAAAATAGCCTCCAACACTCTACTCAGCAAATTGGATGTAGTCTATCACAGTGCCATCCGTTTTGTCTCCAAAGCCCCATATAATACCCACCAATGTGACCTGTACGCTCTTGTTGGCTGATCCTCACTACATGTTCGTCGCCAAACCCACTGGCTCCAGGTCATCTATAAATCCTTTCTAGGCAAATCCCCGCCTTATCTTAGCTCACTGGTCACCATTGCAACACCCACCCGTAGTCTGCGCTCCAGCAGGTATATCTCACTGGTCATCCCCAAAGCCAACACCTCCTTTGGCCGCCATTCCTTCCAGTTCTCTGCTGCCAATGACTGGAACGAACTGCAAAAATCTCTGAAACTGGAGACTCTTATCTCCCTCACTAACTTTAAGCATCAGTTGTCAGAGCAGCTTACCGATCACTGCACCTGTACACAGCCCATCTGTAATTAGCCCACCCAACTACCTCATTCCCATATTATTTATTTTGCTAATTTACACCCCAGTATCTCTATTTGCACATCTGTCATTCCAGTGTTAATTACGAAATTGTAACTATTTTTGCACTATGGCCTATTTATTGCCTTACCTCCATAACTTACTACATTTGCACACACTGTATATATATTTTCTATTGTGTTATTGACTTTATGTTTTGTTTTACCCCATATGTAACTCTGTGTTGTTGTTTTTATCGCACTGCTTTGCTTTATCTTGGCCAGGTCACAGTTGTAAATGAGAACTTGTTCTCAACTGGCTTACCTGGTTAAATAAAGGTGAAATAAATAAATAAAAATTAAAGCATAGATAACTGGACAGGGAAATACACTACTGTTCAAAAGTTTGGGGTCACTTAGAAATGTCCTTGTTTTTGAAAGAAAAGCAATTTTTTTGTCCATTTTTAAAATAACATCAAATGGATCAGAAATACAGTGTAGACATTGTTAATGTTGTAAATGGCTATTGTAGCTGGAAACGGCTGATTTTTAATGGAATATCTACATAGGCGTACAGAGGCCCATTATCAGCAACCATCAGTCCTGTGTTCCAATGGCACGTTGTGTTTGCTAATCCAAGTTTATCATTTTAAAAGGCTAATTAATCATTAGAAAAACCTTTTGCAATTATGTTAGCACAGCTGAAAACTGTTGTGCTGATTAAAGACGCAATAAAACTGGCCTTCTTGAGACTAGTTGAGTATCTGGAGCATCAGCAATTGTGGGTTCGATTACAGAATCAAAATGGCCAGAAACAAATAACTTTCTTCTGAAAGTTGTCAGTCTATTCTTGTTCTGAGAAATGAAGGCTATTCCATGCGAGAAACTGACAAGAAACTAAAGATCTCGTACAACGCTGTGTACTACTCCCTTCACAGAACAGCGCAAACTGGCTCTAACCAGAATAGAAAGAGGAGTGGGAGGCCCCGATGCACAACTGAGCAAGAGGACAAATACATTAGAGTGTCTAGTTTGAGAAGCAGACGCCTCACAGGTCCTCAACTGGCAGCTTCATTAAATAGTACCCACAAAACACCAGTCTCAACGTCAACAGTGAAGAGGCGACTCCGGGATGCTGACCTTCTAGGCAGAGTTGCAAAGAAAAAGCCATATCTCAGACTGGCCAATAAAAAGAAAATATTAAGCTGGGCAAAAGAACACAGACACTGGACAGAGGAAGATTGGAAAAAAGTGTTATGGACAGACGAATCGAAGTTTGAGGTGTTTGGATCACAAAGAAGGACATTTGTGAGACACAGACCAAATGAAAAGATGCTGGAGGAGTGCTTGATGCCATCTGTCAAGCATGGTGGAGGCAATGTGATGGTCTGGGGGTGCTTTGGTGGTGGTAAAGTGGGAGATTTGTACAGGGTAAAAGGGATCTTGAAGAAGGAAGGCTATCACTCCATTTTGCAGAGCCACGCCATACCCTGTGGATGGCGCTTGATTGGAGCCAATTTCCTCCTACAACAGGACAATGACCCAAAGCACAGCTCCAAACTATGCAATAACTATTTAGGGAAGAAGCAGTCAGCTGGTATTCTGTCTATAATGGAGTGGCCAGCACAGTCACCGGATCTCAACCCTATTGAGCTCTCAAAGTTTGAAGGACACAATTAGTATTTATATTAAAAATCATTATTTCTAACCTTGTCAATGACTACATTTCCTATGCATTTTGCTATATTTCCTATTCAAACTAATTTAATGTATGTTTTCATGGAAAACAAGGACATTTCTATGTGACCCCAAACTTTTGAACGGTAGTGGTCACTAGTGGGGGTCACTTCCCCCCACTGAAGGCCCAACTTCCTGCCTTTTTATATCCACTTCCTCTCTTGCCACAGTACAAAGAATTGGCCACTAATAACAGAGGAATATCAAATCAGGTATTAATATCATAAGGGAACAACATTTCGTCTAATATACATGGTGCTCTGTATGTTTTATCCAATGTCTAACCGGCTCCAACAGTGAATAAGGGTTTATAAGGCTGGAACAGGAACGAGGACCCAGGCCAACCACTCCAGAGACCTGGCTGTTCCCCAGGAACAGGAACGAGGAACCAGGCCAACCACTCCAGAGACCTGGCTGTTCCCCAGGAACGAGGACCCAGGCCAACCACTCCAGAGACCTGGCTGTTCCCCTGGATTAGGAACGAGGACCCAGGCCAACCACTCCAGAGACCTGGCTGTTCCCCTGGATTAGGAACGAGGACCCAGGCCAACCACTCCAGAGACCTGGCTGTTCCCCAGGAACAGGAACGAGGACCCAGGCCAACCACTCCAGAGACCTGGCTGTTCCCCAGGAACAGGAACGAGGACCCAGGCCAACCACTCCAGAGACCTGGCTGTTCCCCTGGATTAGGAATGAGGACCCAGGCCAACCACTCCAGAGACCTGGCTGTTCCCCAGGAACAGGAACGAGGACCCAGGCCAACCACTCCAGAGACCTGGCTGTTCCCCAGGAACAGGAACGAGGACCCAGGCCAACCACTCCAGAGACCTGGCTGTTCCCCAGGAACAGGAACGAGGACCCAGGCCAACCACTCCAGAGACCTGGCTGTTCCCCTGGATTAGGAACGAGGACCCAGGCCAACCACTCCAGAGACCTGGCTGTTCCCCTGGATTAGGAACGAGGACCCAGGCCAACCACTCCAGAGACCTGGCTGTTCCCCAGGAACAGGAACGAGGACCCAGGCCAACCACTCCAGAGACCTGGCTGTTCCCCAGGAACAGGAACGAGGACCCAGGCCAACCACTCCAGAGACCTGGCTGTTCCCCTGGATTAGGAACGAGGAACCAGGCCAACCACTCCAGAGACCTGGCTGTTCCCAGGAACGAGGACCCAGGCCAACCACTCCAGAGACCTGGCTGTTCCCCTGGATTAGGAAACGAGGACCCAGGCCAACCACTCCAGAGACCTGGCTGTTCCCCTGGATTAGGAACGAGGACCAGGCCAACCACTCCAGAGACCTGGCTGTTTCCCAGGAACAGGAACGAGGACCCAGGCCAACCACTCCAGAGACCTGGCTGTTCCCCAGGAAACAGGAACGAGGACCCAGGCCAACCACTCCAGGAGACCTGGCTGTTCCCCTGGATTAGGAACGAGGACCCAGGCCAACCACTCCAGAGACCTGGCTGTTCCCCAGGAACAGGAACGAGGACCCCAGGCCAACCACTCCAGAGACCTGGCTGTTCCCCAGGAACAGGAACGAGGACCCAGGCCAACCACTCCGAAGAACCTGGCTGTTCCCCAGGAACAGGAACGAGGACCCAGGCCAACCACTCCAGAGACCTGGCTGTTCCCCTGGATGAGAACGAGGACCCAGGCCAACCACTCCAGAGACCTGGCTGTTCCCCTGGATTAGGAACGAGGACCCAGGCCAACCACTCCAGAGACCTGGCTGTTCCCCAGGAACAGGAACGAGGACCCAGGCCAACCACTCCAGAGACCTGGCTGTTCCCCAGGAACAGGAACGAGGACCCAGGCCAACCACTCCAGAGACCTGGCTGTTCCCCTGGATTAGGAACGAGGACCCAGGCCAACCACTCCAGAGACCTGGCTGTTCCCCTGGAACAGGAACGAGGACCCAGGCCAACCACTCCAGGGTTGCACCCTATTCCCTAAATAGACCCATAGGGCTCTGGTCAAAAGTGGTGCACTATATAGGGAATGGGGTGCCGTTTGGGACATGACCCA